TCTTGACCCAGACCCCGCTTCTGGAGCCAGGGCTTGTCATCAGCTAGGGGAAGGGTCCGCACAGGGGACAAACCACAACGATCCTGCCTTGAGACGGTAATTCCTGTGCTCTGGGGCTTCTGCTGCTACCGGCTGAAGTCCTTGCATGGGCTAGGGTCTGCTGAGCTGTGGCATTCATAGCACTTCCCTTTCAAAGCCTCTCCCACCAGGCGCACTCTTCTCAATTTCCCTTCTGGGTGAGCCCCATCACCAGCTTCCTCCTGAAGCCCTCCCCGTGGGAGCTCTCTTATACTGGGAACTGGGCCTCTCACCCAGAGCCTCTCTCCTCTGTCCCACACGGCCCAGAGCCTCCTTTTTAGCTTGCCCAGGTGTTTACCTGCCTAATTAACGGCCTCCCATCCCAGCACCTCCAGGAGTTCCCCTAGTCCCAGGTGAACCTGAGCTGCCTCGTTACCCTGTGTGGAGCCTGTCAGAGGCAGGTGGGCCTGACTCCTTCAGAGGGCCAGCTACCCTCCGAGAGGGGCCTGTGTGATAATGGAGGGGGCCTCACGCCCCTCTCAAGCCTGCCCCACCCAGGCGGGTGCCCCCGCAGCACTGTGGAGGCCTCTACACCCGCTCCACTGTGTGAACCCAGAGGAGGAGGTTTAATGACACAATGGCTGGCTCAGTGCTGAAGACATTTCAGTTGTGAAAAGGTTTCTGGTTTTCATCACCAACCCGGAGATTTCAAACATTTCAGTCCAATGTTCTGGGGTTTGGGTCGGAAACTTTTCAAGGGAAATGTTGGTTAAGGAAAAACCTGAGACTCTTCCAACATTTCCCACGCCAAGCGATCGCCTTGTCCAGGTGGCTCCGTTTCCTGCCCCGCCGGGCTCCAGGCTGGGCGTGATCACAGCCCTTTGGCTAGCCCCCCCGCCCCATGCATCATGCTGCCCCCTACCTGCGATCACTCCCCCTTGCTGCTCCACCAGTTGGATGGCAGCGCGCATGGTTCCCCCCGTTTCAATCCACTGATCCACCAGTAAGACACGCAGACCTGGGGTGCAAGGGCTCGGTTAGGTGAGCTTCTCCCCACAGCCCCCTCCCTCTGCTGGCACCTTGATGCCGTTACCTGCAGCCCAACAGACAGGCTCGGGCTGGGGCAGAGCCCTCAGACAGGCAGGAACGGTGCCCGTGGGATGCCAGGGAGGTGCTCTGCTGCTCTCTGGGAGCTCTGCCATGGAGCTGGGCACCTGGAGCAGGTGAGGCGTAGATGGGGTGCTGGGCCCATGCTTAGGTGAGTTCGAGGGGAGCGGAGGGGAGGGCCCTTCCCACAGGACAGAAGATGAGTGGCAGCGCCCGAGGGCAGTAGCCAGGCACCAGAGCCCGGGGGCTGCTGGCCGTGCCTGCCGCAGCTCTCACCTGGCTGGATGGCGTCCGTCCTCATCTCCAGCAGCTTCTGGCGGGCCGTGTAGTCAGTGTAGGGCTGCGTGCAGGTCTCCACACAGAGGTGCCCGGCTTTGCGGATGGCCAGGAAGCCTTTCTGCAGGGTGCTGGCTATGGCAGCGCCTGGCACAAGGGCAAGCAGAGGAGTGAATGGGCACCGATGCCCTGGGAGACGGGGCACAGCCCTGGAGGGGCCAATGGAGCTTGTAACCAGGTAGCACAGGGAAAAGACTCTGCCCCGAGCGCCCCAGCAAGGAGAGGGCAGGCCAGCGCCCAGGTGAACCCTTTGTTCACTGGAGGTCAGGTGGTGCCCTCACCCCAGCACACACTCCCATCCCTAGCCCCGAGGGAGGAGACACCCGGGAGAGGCCGGCGGGTTACCTAGGATGAAGCCCATGGCGTCGATTCCAGCGACCAGGTCGATGGGGTCTTCGCAGAAGGGCTGGAGCAGGTCCGCAATGCAGTCCTGCAGGCCCTGGGGAGACGGCAGAGCTGCTGAGGGTGCCACCCGCCCACCCAGTCTGGAGCAGAGACGCCGGCGCTAACTGGCCGGTGCTCACTTCATCGCTAGGTGGCTGGGCATGGGACCCAGGCCCTATGAAGGGACACCGCTGGCCCCTGCTGTGGCACTGAGCCAGCCCCCTCAGGCAGCATGGCCGGGAGAGCTAGGCAGCCAGTCCCCTCCTGCTCTGCTCAGTGGGAGCCAGTCTGCCAGGCAGTGCCCAGGTACTGTCTGCGTCCCCCTGACCGGCTCAGAGCCAGCAGGTGCCCGGCCAGCGACGCCCCTGGAAGTAGGGTCAGCAAGGCAGAGCCCTAGGCTGCTTTCCGTGCCCAGGTGTCCAAGGCTGCAGCCCATTGCGTCCCGGGTCTCCATGCCCAGGGATTGGGTCCCATCCTCCCCCTCACTAACCCACCAGCCCAGCACCATGGGACGCCTGACAGAGGCTGGTGCCAAGCAGGCCCTGCTCACTCGCCTGGCCAGCTGTGCCCATCACCGCAGGGCTGGGGCGTGGCTAGCTAGGGCGGGTGACCCTCCTGACTCTCCTCTTCCCCAGGAAACAGGCAGGGCCCTTTAACCATCCCCCCGCCCCTGGCTACACACCCCTGGGCCCAGAAACCCTGCAGCTAGAAAGCTCGCCATGTGCAGCCCCCTTACTGGGGGGCGGGGGGGGCTACCTGCTGGTGACAGTACAGCCTGGAGGGGTCAAGCCAAGGGTAACTGGGGCCCTTGACATTCGGAGCCATGAGCGCTAAGTACCATCCCGTCTCTCGGCTGGCGGGAACACGCGGCAGGTCCATAAGCGCACGGCGGGGCAGGGCCCGGACGGAACCAGCTGCACGGGAAGAAGAGTCGGCCCTAAATGCGCTGGCATGGCTGGCAGGAGAGACGCTCAATGGGCACTTCACCCACCTCCTGCCTCCCAGCAAAGCGGCTCGCTGCAGTGCACCATGGGAGCAGAGAGCAGACCCCCCAGGGCAGGGGCCTGCGGCTCACAGGCAGCCCAGGACCCACAGAGCAGCCTGTGGGCCCCAGGAAAGGAGTCGGGATGAGCCGAGCTCGGGGCTGAGCTGGCTTCGCACGGGAAGCACCTGCCAGGCCCTCTCGTCTGGAGCAGAGTCCAGTCACCCAACTGCTCTATTTACCGGTGGGCTGCTCTCTCAGCCGCTCGAAACGAGCAAAGCCTGGACAACTCGGCATCCGGGGCCTGAGTCCTAGACGCTGGAGGTGGGCTCAGTGCTCCAGTGTCTGAAATAAACAACTGGAGGATCCCATGGTCAGGGGCTGCCCTGCAATAACAAACCTGCGCAGCTCTACGCTTGTGAGCAACCCTACAATAACAAACCAACACCAACCAGTGCTTGTAAACAACCCTACAAAAACAAACCAATGCTGACCAGTGCTTGTGAGCAACCCTACAATAACAAACCTGCATGCTGGAGCGCACACAACATTCAGCAAGGAAACAGCTTTCATTGTCAAGTTTCCTACTGGTTAGTACAAGCGAGGAGGAGTAAGGCTGGGAGGGGCCTGGCCTCCCAGTAACCCCCCCAGCCCCTTGGCATCCAGGCAGCGCTGCACAGTCCCTGGAGACCAGTCGGGATTGCTCCAGGGGCCCCGGCTGGGCCAACCTTCAGGTCCTTCAGCCCGAGCCCTGGTGCATTTCATCCACCTTTCTGCCCCATATCCCTTGCTTCCCATGGGCTGCTGCAGCTCATTCCCACTAACGTGCCCCAAGCAGGTGCCCTTTAAATGTCCCCCAAGCGGGGTCCAAGCTGGCTCAGTACCTGCAGGAGGGTCTCTGCTGTGGAGCTTTTGTCCCAGTGCTTCGGAGCCCTAGAGGGCGGGCAGCAGGCAGGCCACACCCGCGTCCCTGCAGAGCCAAAGTGCAACTGGACACGGATGAAGCTCCCGTCACAGACAACAACAGCTGGGGAAAGCTCAGGCCGGGGCCAAGGGCCGGTGAGCTCGCAGTGAGCTGTTCACCATCCAGTCTCTCGGCAAGCCCCAGAGGACACGGCCTGGGGGAAGGGACGGGAGGGAGAAGCAGGGGACGCGCGAGCCTTTGGAGCCCCCAATGGGAGAACACTGGTGTCCCTCCCCTGCGTGAGTGGCCCAGGTGCCCAGTGCAAGCCCAGCATCACCGGGGCCTGAGCCCTGTTCACACAGGGCCTGTCAATCCTGTAGTCAGGCAAGCGACTGCAGCACATCGCAGCCCCCAGCTAACGTGGAAGCTCGCCTGGGTAACCACAGCAGTGTCGCTACGGCAGGCAGCACATGGGCTGGCCCCGGGGGCAGCACCCAGGCTCTGCTCCCGCACCCGTGTGGCTGCACGTGGGACAATCCCAGCTTCTGACTGGTGGAGACAGACCCTGGGTCGCCTGGGACCACGACTGTCCGACTGCAAAGGCAGCTGGTTTCCTGCACACCCCTGCTCAGGCCTGAGTGCTCTACTCACCGGGCCCTCCGGCGGCTCCGCGTCGCTGCCTCCACACGCTGCACACGGCTGCTCCTCCTCTGGGGCGGCATACGGCAGCCGAGCCCACCGCAAGTCAGGGCCGAGCTTGTCCCCCAGACTTTCCCCAAGCCTCCCGCACCCGCGTGCTGGACAGGCCCTGGAGACTCATTGCAGAGGGAGCACGGCGCCTCCCTAGTGACCCTCCAGGGTGGAGAGAGCCCCAGAGCCCTGTTATTGCTGCCTAGGGAAGGGGAGCCCAATGAAACTCCTTATCACCATCCTGACCCCCCTGCCCCCAGCACTCCTGAGCCATGGTGCCCCCTGCCAGCACTGCTTGAGCCAAGCAAGCCTCATGAGAGCCAGGGGGACAATAGCACCTGGGTCTCTCTTGGGACCAGCCCCCAGGGCGGAGCCCAGAGCAGGAGCCTTGGGAGCACGGGCTGGACCCAAGCCCAGAAGTATCTGGAGCCCACGGCCAGCTCCTGGCTGCCTGGCACAGTCCTGCCCCGGTCCCGGATTGGGAGCAGCCTCCCCATGCTGAGCTGCCCAGTTCCAGGCCCTTCACTGGCACTGCCCCCTGGGCTACGTGCCCAACATCTGACCCCTGCTGCGGCCTTCGCTTTGCCCCAGCGGTGATCCCCGCGCCCTGGCACTGTGGAAGGGGCAGGGGGCCGCTGTCACGGAGGGTGGGGGAGACCAGGCCCTGCACCCCCGGCTTCCTGCGATTCACCATGACTCTCAGCCAGCCAGTAAAACGGAAGGTTTATTTAGACGACAGGAACACAGTCCAAAACAGGTCTTGCCGGTACCGACAACAGCCCCCTTCCCCTTTAGTTAGGTCCATCTGGGGGCCCCAGGGAGGCCACTGCCCCGTTGGGAAGCCCAAGCCCCATCGGGGCGCCCCTCTCCATTTTCCAGCCAGCTCCAAACTGAAACTCCCTCCAGCCGTCTCCTTTCTGGACTTCCCCTGGTTCCTCCCCCAGCCTTTGTGTCCTTTGTCCAGTTTCCCCGGGCAGAGGTGTCACCTAGCCTCCAACCCCCTCCTGGGTTCTCAGGTTACATGCTCAGGTATGCTCCCTTCCCCAATGCAGGCAGCCCCAGCAAAACTCCCCTGCAACCTTCCCAGGTTAATACTCCCCACTCAGCATTCAAATAACACAGCAAGAACATTCCCACTTCGTCACAGACACGCTGCTGCTTTCTTGCTTTGCTGGGCTCGCGTGTGCACAGGAAGAACCTTGTCCCAAGTGTGAATTCATTCTCCAGAGACCCCGTCCCTCGTGCACAAGGACCTTGTCGCTGCTCGCTCGGGGGCTGGGGTCATGGCAGCACAAGGCACCATCGGCCCAGGCATCAGGCAGGAACTTCCTGGCATGGCCTGTCTCCCCCAGTGCCCCCTGCAGGGCTGGCTCACACGCAGGCTGGTGCCTTCACCTGGTTTCACCTGAACAAACGTGTTGAGAACCCCATCGCCCTGTGGGGAGGGCCTGGGCGTCAGCTGGGGGCACAGAGTCCAGGGTCCCTCTCCCCCGCCCTGCAGAGCGGGGCAGGGCCTGTCTGGTGGGGAGCAGGTGCCTGCACTGAGCGGCAGGGTTTGTGCAGCGAGCGGTCAGTCCCCCCAGGGACCCCCATCGAGCGGTGACCCGGGCATGGAGCCCGTCGGCCGAGACTAGAGACTGGGCAGCAATAGAGCGGGGTCCCTTATAGCCACGCAGAGCTCGCAGGCCCGGTGCCCCCTCGATGGCCACCAGGGGGCGCAGTGGGTAAGCAGGTGGGGACGGGATCTCATGCTAAGGGGGATGCCAGCTCTCAGCTGGCACCTGGTGCCGGGGAAGCACAGCATCCTCTCTGCTGCTGCCCTGGGGCTGGTGCCCAGGTGGCGGGGTGTGCTGGGGCTCGGGGGGATGGGCAGGGAGCACGCGGCTCCCCTGAGCTGAGCCCAGGGGCTCGGACAGGCTCGAAAGCAGGTGATGTTGGAAACCAGAGGGTGATGGGGATATGAGTTATCCGCTCAGCTCCCTGGCATCGGGCTGGCTGGTTACAGGCTGCACCCAAGTCAGGCCCTGCCCTCTGCCCCCCACCATGGCATCTGGGACATCTGGCCCCACCCCAGCCTGCATCCCAGACATGGCCCTGCGGGCGCAGCCCTGCCCCAGCAGCATGGAGGAAATGGCAAACGCTGGCGAAGCAGCGTGGCACCATCCCTGTGCAGCACATCTGGGACCAGCTCACCTGCTGCCAGGGGAGAGCCCGGCCGTGTCCGTGCCACAGGTGGGTGCTCCTCTGGCTGGCAAGCAGCCGTTTGCCGCCCAGCCAGGGCACAGAGCCAGAGACCCGAGCGGATGTACAACGTCAGGACACTCGCTAGCTGGATGGAAGCGACTGCCCCCGTCCCCACCCACCCAGTGCTGGGCCCCGGCCTGGCCCTGCACCCCCAGCAGCAGCTGGGCGGGGGCCACCGGATACCGACACATGCGGGGACCCCTGTGCTCCTGGGTGGGGGGGTTCGTAACGTGAAAACAGGCTGAGAAGGTAAAACCCAGCTGGCACCAGGTTGTGTGTGCCAGGGCGACGTGACCCCGGGGGTGGCTGAACAAACGCGTGCTCGGCCGTGTGCGGACGTTCCCATCGCTTCACGCTGCCCCCCGGACGCGCTCAGCAGCAGAGCACCCAGCCTGGGCTCCTCTCGGCCAGCCGGCGGGATTGCCAAGGGGGCTCACACATGGCTCATGAGACGAGTGGCCAGCGATGATAGAAATGGGAGGAAGAGGGGGCTCAGGGCCCCAAACTCATTGCACTGGTCACTGAACCTGCATTCATACCTATGTCCCCAGCGATAAAGGCTAGTGCCCCCCACGACCCTCCCCTCTGGGTCTCGGCCCCACCTGCCCCCCACGACCCTCCCCTCTGGGTCTCGGCCCCACCTGCCCCCCACGACCCTCCCCTCTGGGTCTCGGCCCCACCTGCCCCCCCACGACCCTCCCCTCTGGGTCTCGGCCCGTCCTGCCCCCCATGACCCTCTCCACTGGGTCTCGGCCTCCCCGTCCCCCACGACCCTCTCCACTGGGTCTCAGCCCCCGCGTCCCCCATGACCTTCCCCACTGGGTCTTGGCCCCACCTGCCCCAGCCTCTCCTGGGGCCTGGATGAAGGACGGCGCACGGCTGCATTGTGCTGGGGAATGGCCAAGGTGTTTCTGGCCGGCTGGTGGCTGAGACCTTTGTCCGCGCTGTTGGCTCCCAGGGTCCCTGCACATTCCACAGGGGCTTTGGCTGGGGCCAGGAGAGGTGGTGATGCCGCGGTGCCAGGAGGAGCCCGGGCCGGGAGCCGATTGGCCGAGCCGC